AAATACACATGCGGAGATCATCCGTTCACCCACACCGCGTCTCACAAAGACACGCCGGTTGGAACCAAAAATCTCAAATTTGGACTCCAGACCAAAGGACTCATTTCCACCGGTCTAATTACATTTTACATTTACATTTACGTCATTTAGCAGACGCTCTTATCCAGAGCGACTTACATATCTTTTTTCTTTATATATACTGGCCCCCCGTGGGTATGTCCATTCCTCGTGTTTCTTGGCCCAAGCAAGTCTCTTCTTCTTCATTTATTTGGGCTGCAATTTCTGAGGCTGGTAACTCTAATTAACTTATCCTCTGCAGCAGAGGTAACTCTGGGTCTTCCATTCCTGTGGCGGCCCTCATGAGAGCCAATTTCATCATAGCACTTGATGGTTTTTGCGACTGCACTTGGAAGAAACTTTCAAAGCCTCATGAAGCTGGTTGAGGGAATGCCAAGAGTGTGCAAAAGCTGTTATCAAGGCAAAGGGTGGCTATTTGAAGAATCTCAAATATAAAATATATTTTGATTTGTTTAACACTTTTTTGGTTACTACATGATTCCATTTGTGTTATTTAATAGTTTTGATGTCTTCACTATTATTCTACAATGTACACAATAGTAAAAATAAAGAAAATCCTGTAATGAGTAGGTGTGTCCAAACTTTTGACTGGTAATGTATATACATATACAGTGCCTTCGAAAAGTATTCACACCCCTTGACTTTTCCCACATTTTGTTAGGTTACAGCCTTATTCTAAAATTGATTAAATCGTTTTTTTCCCCTTCATCAATCTACACACAATACCCTATAATGAGAAAGCAAAAACAGGTTTTTAGATTTTTTTGCTAATTTATTAAAAATAAAACACGGAAATATTACATTTACATAAGTATTCAGACCCTTTACTCTGCACTTTGTTGAAGCACCTTTGGCAGCGATTACAGCCTTGAGTCTTCTTGGGTATGACGCTACAAGCTTGGCAAACCTGTATTTGGGGAGTTTCTCCCATTCTTCTCTGCAGATCCTCTCAAGCTCTGTCAGGTTGGATGGGGAGCATTGCTGCACAGCTATTTTCAGGTCTCTCCAGAGATGTTCAAACAGGTTCAAGTCCGGGCTCTGTCTGGGCCACTCAAGGACATTCAGAGACTTGTCCCTAAGCCACTCCTGCGTTGTCTTGGCTGTGTGCTTAGGGTCGTTTAGGGTCGTTGTCCTGTTGGAAGGTGAAACTTCGCCCCAGTCTGAGGTCCTGAGCGCTCTGGAGCAGGTTTTCATTAAGGATCTCTCTGTACTTTGCTCCATTCATCTTTGCCTCAATCCTGACTAGTCTCCCAGTCCCCGCCGCTGAAAAACATCCCCACAGCATGATGCTGCCACCACCATGCTTCACCGTAGGGATGGTGCCAGGTTTCCTCCAGACGTGACGCTTGGTATTCAGGTCAAAGAGTTCAATCTTGGTTTCATCAGACCAGAGACTCTTGTTTCTCATGGTCTGAGAGTCCTTTAGGTGCCTTTAGGCAAACTCCAAGTGGGCTGTCATGTGCCTTTTACTGAGGAGTGGCTTCCGTCTGGCCACTTTACCATAAAGGCCTGATTGGTGGAGTGCTACAGAGATGGTTGTCTTTCTGGATGGTTCTCCCATCTTCACAGAGGAACTCTAGAGCTCTGTCAGAGTGACCATCGGGTTCTTGGTCACCTCCCTGACCAAGGCCCTTCTCCCCCGATTGCTAAGTTTGGCCGGGCGGCCAGCTCTAGGAAGAGTATTGGTGGTTCCAAACTTCTTCCATTTAAGAATGATGGAGTCCAATGTGTTCTTGGGGACCTTCAATGCTGCAGAAATGATTTGGTACCCTTCCCCAGATCTGTGCCACTTCACAATCCTGTCTCAGTGCTCTACGGTCACTTCCTTCGACCTCATGGCTTGGTTTTTGCTCTGACATGCACTGTCAACTGTGGGACCTTATATTGACAGTTGTGTGCCTTTCCAAATCATGTCCAATCAATTGAATTTACCACTGGTGGACTCCAATCAAGTTGTAGAAACATCTCAAGGATGATCAATGGAAACAGGATGCACCTGATCTCAATTTCGAGTCTCATAGCAAAGGGTCTGAAGACTTATGCAAATAAGGTGTTTCAGTTTTTGTATTAATTTTTTATTAGCAAAAATGTAATACAAACCTGTTTTCGATTTGTCATTATGGGGTATTGTGTGTAGATTGCTGAGGATGTGGTCCTCTGTAGCTCAGCTGGTAGAGCACGGCGCTTGTAACGCCAAGGTAGTGGGTTCGATCCCCGGGACCACCCATACACAAAAATAAAATGTATGCACGCATGACTGTAAGTCGCTTTGGATAAAAGCGTCTGCTAAATGGCATATTAATTAATTATTAAGGATGTTTTTGTATTTAATGAGGCTGTAACGTAACAAAATGTGGAAAAAGTCAAGGGGTCTGAATAATTTCCGAAGGCACTGTACATAAAAAAAAAAAGATAGTGCGTCTGTAGAAGTTCATGAGGGTCTTAGGAGGGGTTCAGACTCAGGGCCCTGAGCTTAGTGATGAGCTTGGAGGGTACTATGGTGTTGAAGGCTGAGCTGTAGTCGATGAACAGCCTTCTTACATAGGTATTCCTTTTGTCCAGGTAGGATAGGGCAGTGTGGAGTGCAATGGGGATTGCATCGTCCGTGGATCTGTTGGGGCGGTATGCAAATTGTAGTGGTGTCAGGTAAGATGGAGGTGATATTTTTTTTAAATGATGTTCATATTAATATTATTGTACCAGGATCAAGTGTCATTGAGATAAATCAATCTCCGTGCCAAGGAAAACCTGGATAGATAAAGAAACACATGATTTGACTTCCTTCTAGTCCAATGTTGTTGCAATCATTCACCTTCTCATATTTATGAAACACATACCATTGGTATAAAGGACTATGAACCATGTGCATAGCCTGGGTAGCCGCTAGTGAGCGCTATGGGACCCCACTATCGTCTGGGGTTGTGCCTAGCCCGTAATACACTAGTGTCCCCCTGCGACCGGTTCGTACATAAACCATTCTCCATTCAGGCTGCAAAGGCATCACTTTCATCCCTAAATAACTTTAATGGCGTGCAGCCCCCCCCCCAAAAAAAAAAAATAATATTCGTAATGTCTTAATAAAACACTTTTTTTCACAACCATGCTAGAGTTGCTAATGCTACTTCCTGATGTTGCACCCTGCGTTCAACCAGGGGTAATGCCACATTCTTGTGCTAGTCCGAACTAGGAAACTGACATTTCCGACTAATTTTCTTTCTTCTTCTTTGAGATTTATTGGCAGACTAAACTCATAAGGTGTATTGCCGCCACCTACTGTATGATGTACTAAAAAAATATATCCCAAAAAACAAAAGCTGTTTTGGATGACGAAATTCATACTAATTAACAAAAACACTAACCAAAATTCACTCTACTACCCTGAATTTCAAATCAAAAACAACTGTAGTCCTTCAGTTGGATTTAAATGTCTACATGTCCGACTTGCTAACTTGTTGTAGTTATATGCGTTCCACTTTTAACCAGCTAGCAATTCGGAAATGTCCGAGTTCCGACTAGTGCATGAACGTGGAATAAACAAAAACCTACAACCTGATTGGTTGAACGTGGTGCGCAACATCAGTAAATTGTCAAAAAATATGAAATATTGTGTTTTATTAAGACATACTTTTTTTTACCTGTTTTTTTCTTCTTCTGGCGGCACGCTATTAAAGCTAGTGGAGGATGTTTTATGTACGAACTGGTCTCCGGGGACACAGTGTATTACTGGCTGGGCACATTAAGCCCAGAAGAGATCCATTGCACTAGCGACTGAGTGTCCAGTGTAGGCATAGGAGATTACCTGTTGGCTGTCATTTTTTTGTTGAAGGGAATACAAAAAAATTGTTGGACAGAATTTGATATCCCCCCCCCCCCCCCCCCCCCCCCCCCGTGATGGTTGTGAAGCAGGTTCAGTTTCACTTTTTTGAGCCATCTCAGTATCCTTAAACACATGACGATGCCGGAAGTGTGTAGAAACAGACGAGCTTCTTACACGAGTTGGGACTCACATTGGAGTGAAATACTAAATTGAAATGTCCATGGCCCAGATTGTACCAGGACAGTTTGATGATGCGGATGAATCAAACAGGTGAGTCGTCAAGTATCCTTTATTTGTAGCCCTTTACTGCTAGTTGTACTTACAGCCTTGTTTGTTGTTGCTAGCATGCGGCATCGTCATTAACGTTAGCTACCAACTACTGACACCACAGGCATATAGCTAGCTATAGCGAAGTATTTAGCTATTTCGTTGTTTGAACAACTTATTGGATAAGTACAAAAAAAAGCGTGTTGAATTTGTATTTCACAACATGAGTTTTGACATAAAATGATCTAGCTAGCTACTTTAACCAACTAACGTTAGCTAGTAGTTACTAGCGTTGTGCCCATGTCCTGTGCCTACTCAAGTGTTAGCTAGTAGCCCAAAAGCCGGCAGATGTGATATTGAGTCGTGTTATTTTACCGTTCAAAGGTGTTGTACACTCGTATCCCCCGTGGACCGGTTCGTACATAAAACATTCTCCATGCAGGTTACAAAGGCGTTGATTTCCCCTCTAACTCAATTTAATGGCGAGAAGGCTGAAAGTAACGGAGAAAAGATGCATACTTTCCTTATGAAACACCATTTTCCACCACCATGCGCCAGAAGATCGCCATCTGCCGGCGTTTTGGCTGGCTAGCCAGTATATAACGTTAGCTATAAAACAAGGTAGCCCATGTCTCTTTTCTTTCATTTAGCATGGCAAATCTAGCAGAGGTTATTAAAGGAACGTATGTAATGACTCAAGACAAACAGCACACTGCATGTTATTTATTGCCCCCCTCTCCCTTTGTTCATGTAGCTAGCTAGCTAAGACAATTGTTTGTTTTGTTTCTGTCAGTGTCTCAATGTACAGAGCCTGACCACTAGCTATGTTTCTTTTCAGTAGTGTTGCCAATACCCAACCAGCTGAGGAGATGCTTGCATTAGAGGGCCAGATCGGTGGAGTTAGCCTGGACACACTATATCATGATTCGTGCGAATATGATGAGGAGGAGGAGGAGGATGATGATGATGATGATGATTGGGACTGGAATGAGACAGGAGACTTGACAAAACGCTACATGGCTAATAGAACAGGAATGAATCACCAGGTAAGTTCAGAACAGCTTGTGCTAATGACTTGTTTTATGATTTATCAGCTAATCAATCATTATTTCAAAATGTACATGTACTAGTGGAGTTTGCTCCCATAGCAGGAGCCAATATTGGGTATATGAGAAGATGAAGCAAACTGATGTCATCTCTTTGTTTTTTTGCAGGCAAATAAACAAAATCCTAGTAACAAATCACAGAAACTGTCAACCCCCACTGACAAGGCTCTGAGGAAGTTTGAACACAAAATTAATTTAGGTGAGTTCAAGTAGAATTTTTAGTTCTGAGTGATGAACCGAAATGTTGGCTATAGTTTTCGTTTTTTAAACGACTAATTGACGACTGTTCAATTATTTTAATTCCAGTTCGTTCTGTTTTTTTCTGAGTTCAATGCACACATTGCACAGTTTCTCTAGAGATAAATCAGATCAAGCCTGAACTGTGCGATGTTGTAGGGAGTTGTAGTTTCCAACAGGCCAATATTCTACATAGTTTAGCACATAAAACATGGTAATTAACTACAATGACCATAATCCATTGCACATCTACTTGTACGGTCTGTGTTTCTTTTACGCCTGCTACGGAAGAGACAAGCATGCACGATTGTGAGGGGATATAGAGAGCAGCTGTTGCTTTGTGAGGTGCCTCTACCTGAAATGATGAAAGTGATTGATAGTTGGTGTTCAGCAGTCATAAAAGTCTGCCTTATTTACTTTGAACTACAAAATAGTGATTTTCGTCAGACAGCATAGGCAGCAGCTCTATAGAGATGAGATGATGACTTGGAATGAAATAATAATGTCATCAAATGAAACAAATAATATACACAACTGAAATATTTTATTCAAGTAATGTGGATAAATGATGGTTAATACAGTCATGGGACTTTTTATTAATTGTTTTGTTCTGTGTTACAGCATTCAACCCCAAAAATCGATGAAAACTGTGATAATTTTTTGATAATCGAACCAAAACCGAACTGACCTCAAAGCACCATTCGCTCAGCACTAAGTATTTTAGCTGTGTAGATGGATAATCCAATGAAGAAAGGCACATGGGTGGCCTGGGTGGTCTAGCAGTTAGTTCCGCCGTCTACAGCACACGTTTGTCAGTGTAGAATCCGCTCTTTGTGACACTCCATACATCTTTCCCACAATCTCCCGTCTGTACATTAGAAAATATACAAATCCCCCCCCTTTGTTTAAGAATGTGAGAATTAACTGTATAGAGCGCTGAATGTGTTCTTTTGTTTTACTGTAGATAAGCTCAACTATGCTGACTCTGTGATCAACAAAGTGACCGTGATGCAGAAACAACGAGATGCTGACACGTACGTAACCTGTCACCGAACATGACATTCAACATGACATCGCACTGCTTGGAATAAAGAGTACTTTTATTCTGTTATAGTTTAAAAAATAATTTTGTTGGCTGTTGTGGTTACTTCCGCTAGGTTTCGAGTGAAAGACAAGTCGGATCGGGCTACAGTTGAGCAGGTTCGCTTTTTATTCCCGTTGGAGTTTTGTGGTGTGTGTGTGTGTGTGTGTATATATATATATTAGTACCCGTCAAAAGTTTGGACACACCTACTCATTCAAGGATTTTTCTTTATTTTTATTATTTTTTTTTACATTGTAGAATAATAGTGAAGAAATCAACTATGAAATAACACATATGGAATCATGTAGTAACCAAAGAAGTGTTAAACAAATCAAAATATATTTTCTATTTGAGATTCTTCAGATATTTTTAAAATGTTTAAATATATAGCCACCCTTTGCCTTGAATAGCCACCCTTTGCCTTGAAAAATGTAAGCACTCACTAAAAACTGTAAGTCGCTCTGGATAAGAGCGTCTGCTAAATGACTAAAATGTAAAAATGTAATGACAGCATTGCACACTCTTGGCATTCTCTCAACCAGCTTCACCTGGAATGTATCTATATCTATAAGTATCTATAGTATTAGTATTAAATCAGAGATGAAAATGACATGATAATGTTATTTTATATGGCGATGGCATTCTGTTTGGATTTCATACCTGATTTCAGTGTACGGATAAGTCTGAGTAACAGAAAATCAACAGTGAATTGAGTTCCTTGTTTGTTTGAAAGGTGTTGGACCCACGGACGCGAATGATTCTGTTTAAGATGCTCAGCAGGGGTGTCATTTCAGAGATCAATGGATGTATCAGCACAGGCAAAGAGGCAAGTTGATCCCACAACGTCACGAGGCAAACGTATCCACCACTGTGGAACATTTTGGGGTCAACTTATCGTCCTACGAATGGCATATTCAGTTTCATTATTTCAAAGTGCTTTATACCAACAGGCAAATGTTTACCATGCGACCACTGCCAATGGTGAGAGCAGAGCCATCAAGATCTACAAGACCTCCATCTTACTGTTCAAGGACCGTGACAAATATGTTAGTGGAGAATTCAGGTGAACAGCATTTCCTGGCATGTCTAAGATGGTGTTACAAAACCAAGACCTAAAAGTAACCGTATCTCAGAAGGGGTCAATGTGGAACAAACTATTTGGTGCAGGCCATTGTTGCTAAGTCTGTTGTGTACCGTAGGAATGGGCATTTGAAAGATTCTGTGTTGGAGTACTCGCATGATAAATATTTGAGTACTCGCATGTTAACGTTTTAAAATGTGAAACAGGGCTGAAAGCAAAATGTTTGCGGTATGCTATCGGTTGTTTTAAATTACTTTTTTTTTTTTTTAACTGCACTTGACCTACTCTACAAACAATAAACACATATTTGTTTATTTTGTCAGTGCTTAGAAATGTAACCTGCTAAATAATTGCAATTGTAAATTGAGTACTTATTATTAATTGAATACAAACCTTGAATCGAGTACTCATGCCCATCCCTACTGTACAGTAGACTGTCAGCGTACATCAGCCATGTTTAAAGCTGATGAAGTCTGCCGTCTGCCCTCCAGGTTCCGCCACGGCTACTGTAAAGGAAACCCCAGGAAGATGGTGCGAACCTGGGCCGAGAAGGAGATGAGAAACCTCATCAGGTGAGCGTCCCCAAGATGAGCCATGGAAAAAAGTAACATTGGTTATGCTTTATTTCATCGCCTGGTTTGTGGTATTTACATGGTATTTAGCCCTTTTACACTTGTACCCGTATACTGATAGAACATTGCAGATTGGAACGCAGTGGCTGTACAGTAACATGCTATACATGACGTCAGAGCTCAGTGGCTGGACAGTAACATGCTATACATGACGTCAGAGCTCAGTGGCTGGACAGTAACATGCTATACATGACGTCAGAGCTCAGTGGCTGGACAGTAACATGCTATACATGACGTCAGAGCTCAGTGGCTGGACAGTAACATGCTATACATGACGTCAGAGCTCAGTGGCTGGACAGTAACATGCTATACATGACGTCAGAGCTCAGTGGCTGGACAGTAACATGCTATACATGACGTCAGAGCTCAGCGGCTGGACAGTAACATGCTATACATGACGTCAGAGCTCAGCGGCTGGACAGTAACATGCTATACATGACGTCAGAGCTCAGCGGCTGGACAGTAACATGCTATACATGACGTCAGAGCTCAGTGGCTGGACAGTAACATGCTATACATGACGTCAGAGCTCAGTGGCTGGACAGTAACATGCTATACATGATGTCAGAGCTCAGTGGCTGGACAGTAACATGCTATACATGACGTCAGAGCTCAGTGGCTGTACAGTAACATGCTATACATGTCAGTGCACAGTGGCTGTACAGTAACATGCTATACATGACGTCAGAGCTCAGTGGCTGGACAGTAACATGCTATACATGACGTCAGAGCTCAGTGGCTGTACAGTAACATGCTATACATGACGTCAGAGCTCAGTGGCTGGACAGTAACACGCTATACATGTCGTCAGAGCTCAGTGGCTGGACAGTAACATGCTATACATGTCAGAGCTCAGTGGCTGGACAGTAACATGCTATACATGACGTCAGAGCTCAGTGGCTGGACAGTAAACTGCTATACATGGACGTCCAGAGCTCCAGTGGCTGGGACCAGGTAACATGGCTATACATGACGTCAGAGCTCAGCGGCTGGACAGTAACATGCTATACCTGACGTCAGAGCTCAGTTGGCTGTACAGTAAACATGCTATACATGGAACGTCAGAGCTCAGTTGGTGGACAGGTAACCATGCTATACATGACGTCAGGAGCTCAGTGGCTGGTACAGTAACATGCTATGACATTGACGTCAGAGCTCAGTGGGCTGTACAGTAACATGTATATACCATGAGTCATAGGATCCAGTGGCCTTGGACAGTAAACATGCTATAACATGACGTCAGAGCTCAGTGGCCTGGACAGTAAACATGCTATACATGTTCAGAGCTCAGAGTGGCTGGACAGTAACATGCTATACCATGACTGTCAGAGCTCAGTGGCTTGGACAGCAGTAACCATGCTATACATGACGTCAGAGCTCAGTGGGCTGGACAGTAACCATGCTATACATGACGTCAGCGCTCAGTGGCTGGACAGTAACATGACTATACATGACGTCAGAGCTCAGGGTGGACCGAACATGCTATACATGGTCAGACAGTAACATGCTATACATGACGTCAGAGCTCAGTGGCTGGACAGTAACATGCTATACATGACGTCAGAGCTCAGTGGCTGGACAGTAACATGCTATACATGTCAGAGCTCAGTGGCTGGACAGTAACATGCTATACATGACGTCAGAGCTCAGTGGCTGGACAGTAACATGCTATACATGACGTCAGAGCTCAGTGGCTGGACAGTAACATGCTATACATGTCAGAGCTCAGTGGCTGGACAGTAACATGCTATACATGACGTCAGAGCTCTGGTTCTGTACAGTAACATGCTATACATGACGTCAGAGCTCAGTGGCTGGACAGTAACATGCTATATAAGACTGTGCTTCACAGCTCTGCATGGGTTTTGACTGACAGATGTTCTGAACTTGAGGACCGCACGCGACAAGTAGTTGCCTCCATCCCTCCTGCTATAATTTGGCAACTTTTGCAAATGTTTTGTTGTCTGAGGTGAGGAAAATGCTGTAAATTAAGAGGACTTGGTTTATTTTGAAAGATGAGACGTTGAGGATTATAATAAATACCGCTTTGATGTCATACAAGCAAGCCAAACACCCGTGAGTCCAAATGTGCACTTTACATTTCCATATCATAAACCTCATGTCATATACAGTGTCAAGGTTTATGATAACTGTTTTATAACAAGTTACAAGATGACATACCCTGGGTGGTTCTGAACAGAATAAGCCTATATACGTCTATTGTGAAGAAAATTCACTGCAGAACACGCACCTGAATGCACCCATGACTCCTTTCTATGGACACCAAAATTACCATCTGTTTCTCTGAATTGCTTTGTGAAAGCCTAACACTGTAAGATCATATTTTATAACTTAGCTAGTCTTGTTGGCAATAGAAAAACAAGCTTTCAAATGATGCCCACCTGACCCAGATTGTGATTTATAATGGGCTGTATTGGATTGCGGAAGACTTCATTGAGTCATAAAAGTGCATTGAAATAACACTGAACAAAAATATATAAATGCAACAATTTTACTGAGTTACAGTTCATATAAGGAAATCGGTCAATTTTAAGTAAATTCATTAGGCCCTAATCTATGGGTTTCATATTACTGTGAATACAGATATACGTCGGTTGGTCATAGATGCCTTTTAAAATAAAAATATATGAAGGGGTGTGGATCAGAAAACCAGTCAGTATCTTGTGTGATTACCATTTGCCTCATGCTGCGTGACAAATCTCCTTCGCATAGAGTTGATCAGGCTGTTGATTGTGGAATGTTTTCCCACTCCACTTCAATGGCTGTGCAAAGTTGCTGGATATTGGCGGGAACTGGAACACGCTGTCGTACACAGATCCAGAGCATCCCAAACATGCTCAATAGGTGATGTCTGGTGAGTATGCAGGCCATGGAAGAACTGGGACATTTTCAGCTTCCAGAAATTGTGTACAGATCCTTACGACATGGGGCCGTGCATCATCATGCTGAAACATGAGGTGATGGCGGCGGCTGAATGGCATGGCAATGGGCCTCAGGATCTCATCACGGTATCTCTGTGCATTCAAATTGCCATCGATAAAATGCAATTGTGTTTGTTGTCCGTAGCTTATGTCTGCCCATATCATAACCTCACCGCCACCATTGACGTCAGTAAACCGCTCGCCCACACGACGCCATACGCGCTTTCTGCCATCTGCTCGGTACAGTTGAAACTGGGATTCATCCATGAAGAGCAAACTTCTCCAGCATGCCAGTGTCCATCGACGGTGAGCATTTGCCTACTGAAGTCGATAACGACGCTGAACTGCAGTCAGGTCAAGGCCCTGGTGAGGACGACGAGCACGCAGATGAGCTTCCCTGAGACGGTTTCTGACAGTTTTGTGTATTATTCGGTTGCGCAAACCCACAGTTTAATCAGCTGTCCAGGTGGCTGGTCTCAATCGATCCCGCAGGTGAAGAAGCCGGATGTGGAGGTCCTGGGTTGGCGTGGTTACACGTGGTCTGCGGTTGTGAGGTTGGTTGGACGTACTGCCAAATTCTCCAAAATGGTAGAGAAATATAAATAACAATTTCTGGCAACAGCTCTGGTGGACATTCCTGCGGTCAGCATGCCAATTGCACACTCTTAAAACTTGAGACATCTGTGGCATTGTGTTGTGTGACAAAACTGCACATTTTAGTGGCCTTTTATTATCCCCAGCACAAGGTGCGCCTGTGTAATGATCATACTGTTTAATCAGCATCTTGATATGCCACACCTGTCAGGTGGATGGATTTATCTTGACATAGGAGAAGGGCTCACTAACAGGGATGTAAACAAATTTGTGCACCAAATTTGAGAGCAATAATTGTTTTGTGTTAATGGACATTTCTGGGATCTTTTATTTCAGAGCATGAAACGTGGGATCAACACTTTTTACATGTTGCTTTTATATTTTTGTTCAGTATACTTAGGAACTGTGCACACTTTGGAGAGATGTGTGGCCACTTGGAGTCATCAGTTAGTCCTCTCACTCAAACCCTTGTTATTTTCTTGTCTTATGTTGCACCTACAACACCTTTTCCAGGAATATTCTCATGTTACTGAATGTATCCAGAGTATTTTCACATTTCGCTATCAACAACTGCGGCAAAGTACAGTAAATGTAAAATGCACATAAAATCAAGTGTAATGTTTGGATTCAGTCTTTTCAGGTGAACTGTTGTTCTCAAATTAGGTCAAATTTTTCCATAATCTCCAAACTGTTCCCTTTCAGTTGCTACTGTGCTTATGCATATACTTTTCATATTTATTCTGTAAGAAACGTTTCAATTTAATGTAAAGGGTTAAGAACCTATACCAGATGCCTTCTGGTACTTACTTCAAATAATTCAACATCATTGGTAACTACCTGGTACCAAATGGTACAAGCCTACGCTTGTGTCAATGAATCCCCTTTGACCCTAAATGTACAACAAAAAGGTTTTGAAAACTGACTGATAAAGGGAGGGAGTACTTGGACTTGTCCAATAAGAAACGCTGGTTTTCCTTTTCACTTGCAACACTCTGCGCGAATGAATACGACCCTGCGTTTCAGCTTGTCTCTCCCTACTGCGTGTCTCCAGGTTACAGACGGCAGGCATCCCGAGTCCGGAGCCAATCATGCTGCGTAGCCACGTGCTCCTCATGAGTTTCATCGGCAGGGATGACATGTATGTATGATCTGGCTTCGTTTCTGTTTTAACCGGTCAATATTATATACCGTTTCTGTTTTAACCTGTCAATATTATATACCGTTTCTGTTTTAACCTGTCAATATTATATACTGTTTCTGTTTTAACCTTTCAATAATATATACCGTTTACATTTACATTTTACATTTTAGTCATTTAGCAGACGCTCTTATCCAGAGCGACTTACAGGAGCAATTAGGGTTAAGTGCCTTGCTCAAGGGCACATTTACGTCATTTAGCAGACGCTCTTATCCAGAGCGACTCACAAATTGGTGCATTCACCCTATAGCCAGTGGGATAACCGTTTCTGTTTTAACCTGTCAATATTATATACCGTTTCTGTTTTAACCTGTCAATATTATATACCGTTTCTGTTTTAACCTGTCAATATTATTTTCTGTTTTAACCTTTCAATAATATATACCGTTTCTGTTTTAACCTGTCAATATTATATACCGTTTCTGTTTTAACCTGTCAATATTATATACTGTTTCTGTTTTAACCTTTCAATAATATATACCGTTTCTGTTTTAACCTGTCAATATTATATACCGTTTCTGTTTTAACCTGTCAATATTATATACCGTTTCTGTTTTAACCTTTCAATAATATATACCGTTTCTGTTTTAACCTGTCAATATTATATACTGTTTCTGTTTTAACCTATCAATAATATATACCGTTTCTGTTTTAACCTGTCAATATTATATACCGGTTTGTATGTCTGGCTTAAAGGTTGTGTAAGTTCTGGTTTTATCTAGCCTGTATGTGTGTAGTGAGCTGCGGTCCAAATCAATTATTCAACCGTACTCATTGCTAATGTGATGAATCGAGAGTAAATTGGTTCAATAAGGGTTTGTTCTGGAACTTCTGGTAAATTATGGCTTATGTTTTTTGCAGTTTTTCTATAGTTAACAATGTCAACGTTGAACATTGTTGTTTTTGCTGCTGTATTGTTTTATAGCAGTGTGTGTGTGTGGTGTTTGTGTGCAGACCTGCGCAGAATGTATCTCAATCTACGTTTACTATAGCAAATTGATCAATTGGATGCTTCTCCGGGCTTTGAAGATCCGTTTTAATTTGTATCCTCTGGTCCCAGACCTGCTCCTCTTTTGAAGAACGCTTCCCTGTCCGAGTCCAAAGCGCGTGAGCTGTACCTTCAGGTGATACAGAACATGAGGGTTATGTACCAGGAGGCCCGGCTGGTCCATTCGGACCTCAGTGAGTTCAACATGCTGTAAGTTCCCTCCTGTTATCTGACGTGTGTGTGTGTGTGTGTGTGTGTGTGTGTGTGTGTGAACTAAGCTTATAAGTCGTTCCTTAGTTATATTCATAAGGCGTTTCTTAGTTATATTCATAAGGCGTTTCTTAGTTATATTCATAAGGCGTTTCTTAGTTATATTCTTCGAGAATCAATGGGTTTGTATCATACATTGAAATGACCATTCAAATTGAACAACAGGAAATATGACTGATTATGCCTTTTTAAGTAAAAACCCTTCCATTGGTACAGTTATGGAAGTGCTGTTCGCTGCAAGTGCAGTTTTGACAGATACTGGTGTTGACTAAATTGATGCATTTAATTGTATTAATTTTAATATACACTACCAGTCAGAAGTTTGGACACACCTACTCATTCAAGGGTTTTTCTTTATTTGTACTGTTTTCTACATTGTAGAATAATAGTGAAGACATCAAAACTATGAAATAACACATGGAATCATGTAGTAACCAAAAAAGTGTTAAACAAATTAAAATATATTTGAGATTCTTCAAATAGCCACCCTTTGTCTTGATGACAGCTTTGCACACTCTTGGCATTCTCTCAACCAGCTTCATGAGGTAGTCACCTGGAATGCATTTCAATTAACAGGTGTGCCTTGTTAAAAGTTAATTTGTGGAATTTCTTTCCTCCTTAATGCGTTTGAGCCAATCAGTTGTGTTGTGACAAAGTTGGGGGGGGGGGGGGTATACAGAAGATAGCCCTATTTGGTAAAATACTAAGTCCATATTATGGCAAGAACAGCTCAAATAAGCAAAGAGAAACAACAGTCCATAATTACTTTAAGACATGAAGGTCAGTCAAAACAGAACATTTGAAGAACTTTGAAAGTTTCATCAAGCGCAGTTGCAAAAACCATCAAGCGGTATGATGAAACTGGCTCTCATGAGGACCGCCACAGGAATGGAAGACCCAGAGTTACCTCTGCTGCAGAGGATAAGTTCATTAGAGTTACCAGCCTCAGAAATTGCAGCCCAAATAAATGCTTCACAGAGTTCAAGTAACAGACACATCTCAACATCAACTGTTCAGAGGGGACTGAGTGAATCAGGCCTTCACGGTCTAATTGCTGCAAAGAAACCACTACTAAAGGAAACCAATAAGAAGAGACCTGCTTGGGCCAAGAAACACGAGCAATGGACATTAGACCGGTGGAAATATGTCCTTTGGTCTGGAGTCCAAATTGGAGATTTTTGTTTCCAACCGCCGTGTCTTTGTGAGACGCGGTGTGGGTGAACGGATGATCTCCGCATGTGTATTTCCCACCGTAAAGCATGGAGGAGGTGTTATGGTGTGGGGGTGCTTTGCTGGTGACACTGTCTGTGATTTATTTAGAATTCAAGGCACACTTAACCAGCATGGCTACCACAGCATTCTGCAGCGATACGCCATCCCATCTGGTTTGGACTTAGTGGGACTATCATTTGTTTTTCAACAGGACAATGACCCATCACATCTCCAGGCTGTGTAAGGGCTATTTGACCAAGAAGGATAGTGATGGAGTGCTGCATCAGATGACCTGGCCTCCACAATCCCCCGACCTCAACCCAATTGAGATGGTTTGGGATGAGTCGGACGGCAGAGTGAAGGAAAAGCAGCCAACAAGTGCTCAGCATATGTGGGAACTCCTTCAAGGCTGTTGGAAAAGCATTCCAGGTGAAGCTGGTTGAGAGAATGCCAAGAGTGTGCAAAGCTGTCATCACGGCAAATGGTGGCTATTTAAAGAATCTCAAATATAAAATTATTATTTGATTTGTTTAACACTTTTTTGGTTACTACATGATTCCATATGTGTTATTTCATAGTTTTGATGTCTTCACTATTATTCTACAATGTAGAAAATAGTAAAAAAAATAAAGAAAAACCCTTGAATGAGTAGGTGTGTCCAAACTTTTGACTGGTACTGTATATATTATATATATTTTTATTTTATTGCTTATCTTTCAAGGTACAACGACGGTGACGCCTACATCATCGACGTGTCCCAGTCTGTGGAGCACGACCACCCCCACGCTCTGGAGTTCCTGCGCAAAGACTGTACCAATGTCAATGGTACGTGTGGCCCGTGTTCTCATAGTCGCAGCGAAGGAGTTCTGATATAGGATCAGTTTAGCCTTTTACATCATAATACATATGGGTATGGGGAGACCTGGTCCTAGATCAGCACTCCTACTCTGAGACTAATCACTGAGCTCTGTGACGTTGTCAACTAACTACAGCGTTAATGCTGATAATATAGCATTGCATTTCTATAGCATAGATTATTTTATTATTTGACAAAGCATCCTTTAGCCATGTCATTTATAATATTTTAAAAGGTTTTGCAACAAGGCATGTATGAAAAATTATCTTTGTGTAATATCAACTGTAGCTACATTTGATCTGAGACTGCCGTTTTTACCCCAACTCCGACCTGACATGCGCATAATATGTCAAACATAAAGCTTAATGCGGACGTAGGTTATAGACAACAGGCAGTGCTATATGCTAGGATTGTCGGTTTCTGTGAAGTATGAGGCTCTGGGTTTGAATGAAAGGCCAGATGAGATCTGGTTCTGTGTCCCTCAGACTTCTTCCTGAAGCGCGGCGTCGCGGCGATGACGTTGCGCGAGCTCTTTGAGTTTGTCACCGATCCCTCCATCACCAGCAGCAACATCAACCTCTACTTGGAAAAGGTAGGAACACATTTCATTAGATGTGAAGTTTGTTTATGTACACGATTGAATCATAACCTTTTTTTTTGTTTGTCAAGTCAAAAGTTGCACTGTGGGCGCGTGCTTTCTGCGCACGCTCAGTACTCGGAGAGCGTGGCCATTTTGATATGCCTGTGTGCATGCGTAATGGCCGTCTTCTCGTTGTAGGCGATGGACATTACTTCCGAGAGGACGGCAGAGGAGAGGTCCAATCAGGATAGTGTGAATGAGGAGGTAAAGGATGAGATCTAATAATCTTCAAGGTGAGAACGTTTTTGGGCTCCTCCATGACATTCTAACTCTCTCTCTCTGTTTTGGTTTATGGTTGAACTGTGACAGGTGTTTAAGAATGCGTACATCCCGCGGACACTTACAGAAGTGAGCCACTACGAACGTGACGTGGATGCCATGGCAAACATGAAAGACGACGAGTCCTCACGCAACATGCAGAATGACAACGTGAGTTGACTAAAACCTTGGTGTAACCGCTCAAATACACCATTCTGATACCAAAGTAGACGACTTTGTCAACCCCTAACTCATGGTTCACTTTACGTATGCACAATTACACAGGGTTCTCGACTTCCTGATATTTTATTGTTACTTTTTCAGTAGCAATGTGATTGGTCCAACCCTACACTGTGTGACTGTTAATCTGGCTCTTCTGAGTTAATGGCTGTGATCTCTTTCTGATATAGATCCTCTACCAGACAGTGACGGGCCTGAAGAAGGATCTGTCTGGAGTTCAGACGGTAAGTCATAAACACCACCACTTTCCCTTCAGACGGTAAGTCATAAACACCACCACTTTCCCTTCAGACGGTAAGTCATAAACACCACCACTTTCCCTTCAGACGGTAAGTCATTAACACCACCACTTTTCCCTTCGGGGAAGTCATAAACACCCCATTTCCCCTTCAGAGGGTAATCATAAACACCACCACTTCCCTTCGACTTTTAAAAGCATAAAAAAACACCACCATTTTCCCCTTTAGACGGTAAGTCATAAAAACCCCACCATTTTCCCCTTAAACGGTATTAAATAAAAACCCACCTTTTTTCCTTAGACGGTAAGTCAAAAAAAACACAACCACTTTTCCCTTCGACGGTAAGTCATAAAAAACACCCCCTTTCCTTAGACGGAATCTAAACACCCTTTTTCCCCTTCAGACGGAAAATTTAAAACACCACCCTTCCCTTCAGACGGTAAGGTCAAAAAAACACCCCCATTCCTTCGAGTAAGTCTAAAACCCACCATTTTCCCCTTAGAGGTAATAAAAACACCCCATTTCCTCAAGGGTAAGCTTTTAAACCCACCACTTTCCCTTCAGACGGTAAGTCATAAAAACACCACCATTTTCCCTTGTGACTTGGCAGCAAAGGTTACGTGTCAATTAAAGAGGTTGGTAATTTTTAGAGTTATGGCTTTCTGTAGCGACTGTCAACTGAAATAGACAGATTTTAATAATGGCTTCTATTGAGAATAAAGTAATGTGTGGTTTGGGAATATTTTACCATTACCGTGCATGAGTTGAGGAATGGTAAGTTTGATTGTTTATTGCTTTTTGATTGTTGACTGTTAATTTGGCCCTTTATTTGTAGGTACCTGCCCTGCTGCAGGACTGTGATGTGGAGGAGAGCTCAAGTTCAGAGGATGAGGATGAGGAAGAAGATGAAGATGAGCGCAAACAGGAGTCTGTAGGAGAAGACTCCCAGATTGACAAGAAGGTACGTTCCTATTAGGGCTGTGAAGGTGAATTAGTTTGTCAAGTAATCTTGCAATATTTAACTGCTATCAGCAGACTTATTTTATTGCATTGGCGGGATTAATTTAATTTAGGATTAAATGCACCAACAAAAAAAGGTAATTACAAAATTGACCACCAGAGGGAGGGAGCAACTTGTGGTTATTGTAACCCTGTAACTGTGCCCACTACTTTTAGGTTATAACATGGCCTATTCAAAACTACACTAAATCTGGAACATATTCTGCATTTATCATGCAAATATCCCAAACTATTTTGATTTCTTCCAGTCTGAACTTAAGTCACCTAAAATTACATATAAATGTTTGAATCTAATATTCTATACCCAACCCGGTTTCTGTTTTGAATCTAATATTCTATACCCAAACCTGTTTCTGTTTGAATCTAATATTCTATACCCAAACCGGTTTCTGTTTTGAATCTAATATTCTATACCCAAACCTGTTTCTGTTTGAATCTAATATTCTATACCCAAACCGGTTTCTGTTTGAATCTAATATTCTATACCCAAACCGGTTTCTGAATTTTAGGAGAAGAAGAAATTGGCCAAGGAGGCCCAGCGGGAAAAGAGGAAAAACAAAACACCGAAACACGTGAAGAAGAGAAAGGAGAGGGTTTCAAAGATGAAGAAAGGCAAATAGGTGGACCCAGTAATCAGGAATACTCCAGACACACACCAGTCCTAAACCTAAACATGAACTTTTATCCCAGTGGCTCTATGAACTGATGTAAACCTCAGTGCTCAACACACAGGCCTTCAGCAACACTGTAGTGAAACTGGTGAACAGAAGTGCAGTATTAGGCCACACTAACAAACAGTGACAAAACATGACATGTTTCTATATAAGAAGTATGTGGAAAAAATGTTGTTGACAATGTCAGGTGTCATGCACAATGCTTTAGCGTTTTTATGATCGTTATATAAAAGCAGTTCAATTAAAATGTACAAATAATAATAATACATACAAGTCTAAATGAAGTTGTACGTTACCTTGAAACATTTTACTAAAGAGGTTTCAAGGCTCTTCTATGTACAGTTACTGCAACAGCTTGCAGGGCAGGTGCTCCTGATGGCCTGTGCTAAAGTTAGTCATTTGTAAACCAAAATAACCAAATGAAAATTGTGGCTTGCAGCCAGTCCTCACATTTATAGGTATGAATTAAACAACATTATTTACCTCATGTTTGTAGTGTACATTTATTTAACATTAAATGTTTAATTTTACTTTACTGACTTTATTGTCCCCATAGGGAAATTTATTTATTCTGGAAACCAATTACCTGCATTTGAATCCAAGACGTGCAATGTGCCCAGTTGTTATACAGTAGCTTGACATTACATAATGGCATTTTGTCACGTTAACAACTTTATATTAGCAGAAATGATGATGGAACACTGAAATAAATTACAAAATTATTTGTAGTGCCCACACTTTTGTGAATAGAACATTCTACATGCTATAAGCACACAAAGTGACGGTTACATTCATTTCTATAAACATTTTATTTCAGGTGCTATTACTACTTGCCTATTCTGATGTAAATGCTCATCATACAGGGATTGAGTGTCATGGTGCATCTTATCGACGTCATTCCTCTCAGGCCCCGTATACACTCAGTTTGTACAACTGATGTACAACTTGTTTGACACAATGTTTGTGATACGAGTTTTTCTACACAATATTTACTTAACCATTGTGCGGCGTCTCCACAACGCTTCGAGCAATTCCTTTTGTGCAGACAAACTTATCAAAACAGTTGTGCCAAATGAGTTAGAGACAGTGCCGTGAAAAAGTATTTGCCCCCTTTCTGATTTAATCTATGTTTGCGTATTTTTTTATACTGAATGTTTTCAGATCTTCAACCAAAACCTAATATTAGTTAAAGGGAACCTGAGTTTTACAAATAACAAATATGTATTTTATTTAATTAACAAAGTTATGCAACACCCAATTCCCCTGTGTGAAAAAGTAATTGCCCCCTTACACTCAATAACTGGTTGTGCCACCTTTAGCTGCAATGACTCCAACCAAATGCTTCCTGTAGTTGTTGATCAGTCTCTCACATCGCTGTGGAGGAATTTTGGCCCACTCTTGCATGCAGCACTGCTTTAACTCAGTGATATTTTGTGCGTTTTTAAGCATGAACTGCTCATTTCAATTGTGATTAGGTCTGGATTTTGTCTAGGCCGTTCCAAAAACGTCAAATTAGTTGCTTTTTAACCATTTTCATGTAGACTTGTGTTTTGGATCATTGTCTAGCTGCATGACCCAGCTGCGCTTCAGCTCACAGATGGATGACCTGACGTTCTCCTGTAGAATTCTATGATACAGAGCAGAATTCATGGTTCCTTCTATGAAGGCAAGTCGTCCAGGTCCTGAGGCAGCAAAGCATCCCCAAACCATGCAGTAATTGGTTTTCGCCAGACAAATGGAGCCCATCTCGTCCAAAAAAAATTGACTTTTAAGTTTGCCAAAAAAAGCACCCGGATGATCATCAAGACTCTTGGAAGAATGTTCTATGGACAGATGAGTACAAAGGTTAACTTTTTGGACGAAATGGGTCCCATTTATGCCTGGTTGTGGCCCAAATGGCACCCTATTCCCTATATAGTGAACTACTTTTGACCAGAGCCCATAGGGAATAGGGTTCTATTTGGAACGCTGCCTACCCAGTCAGGGTGCAAAAACACCAACTGAAACAGTAGGCTTCATTTATACTGGATCTGCACTATTGGGGGCAAACCGACCTGTACTGGGCCGGCTTTCTCTTCCTGTAACCAGGCTGGCCCAGTACAGCTTGGTTTGGCTCAGTAGTGTGAAATAGGATATTATTAGGTTGCACAATGTTGATTTTATATTTTCAAGGTAAAACCGACTTTGTCAAGCATCGGAGATACAAACGCTGACCTGATTTGATGGATAAATGACTATTAGGTAAATGAATAGACTACTGTGCTGTGGATGGCATTGCAGAGACCTTAAGGATTACACCAAACCTCTCGAGACCCAGACCCATCATATCAAAAAGAAATGGTGGATAGAATAGGAGACTCCCCTATGATGACACCGGTAAGGTGTACGAAAACCCTGTGACCCCATCACCTCAAAGTCCTTGTGGTATTTCACCTGCAAGTTTACACACTATCAGTGTATTCTGAGGAAAGATAACTTTTAACCAAGGTTAATTGAATTTGGGAAATGTATCATTTGAAACTATTTCAACATGAAACAGTCCGATTATCTAAATATGCACTTTATTTCAGGATTTTTTTTTTTTAAGGGAACGCTGTCTAAGCATTTGTTTATGATTTCCCTATGCAGACAAAAGTAAAGCTCTTTAAAACTTCTGAGTCAACCTTATTGATTAAATGGTCTGTTCGTCAGAAGCCAGCACCTGAGGCTAAAATATGTTTCTTGACACTGTTACATGAAGCTCTGTCTCCATAGAGTACCACAGTATGAGTCATAATACCCATAAAACCTAGCGGTCAAACCCAAAAATGATTCCAATCATTTTATCCATAGGGGATTTTAAGGGCTGTGTTTCGTGTAGGCTTATTACCCTGACGTGACGTTTTGATAACTGCAAATCTCTCTAGGACAAGGTGACTTATCAATATATTCGCCTGTATTTACCCCCCCAAAATGAAATGCTAATTAGCTGCCAATATGGCTATTATAAAGAACTACAAATGCCATGATGATCTGGACAAGACTGCCGAATCGAGGTAAAGGTAAGAATCTCTGGATGAACTGTTACCTAAATTTAGTAATGAATAAATTGGCTACATTTCTTTAAATTGACACAATACCTGTTAGCAAAGGTGTCAGCTAGAGATGATGTGCAGGAACTTGCAGAGATTTGTAGTCTTGCATAATGTCTACTTTGATGCTAATTAGCATTTTCAAATCTGAGAGTAAATAAAGCTGAATATATTGATGTCACCTCGTCTGAGAGAGATTTACATGGTTATCAAACCTCGTGCCAGGGTAAGCCTACACAAAACACAGACCTTATTACGTTTTTCTAAAATTCCCTATGGGAAAAATAAATGCTGGAAAAACAATTGGAACCATTTCCCTGTTTGACCGCTAGTTTATTTTTTTATTTTTTAAATTTTTTGGGGGGGGGCATCAAATTGAAATTTCAAACAGTGAATCAATGTACTAAATGGGTCTCATCCATGTACATAAATAAAACAATTTCCTTATCTCAAACAAGTTATATTCAGTACATGTGTGATTTAAAATGACATAGCAAAAAAAGAAGTAAAAACATATTGGAGGTACAAAAAACAGACATTTTTTTTTGTTGGTGCGCTGAACACTCCTCACGTGACAGTCCAGAGGAGGCATGCTTTGGGTGGAGCTAGTCCCTTCTCCCAGGTCCTCTCCTGTTAAGATCTAACAGCACTGGACAGGTGGAAGCAATATGGCCCAACCATTGCCTTCATCTATCCAGGCCTTTTAGATCACATTGAAGGGGATAGTAGCCAGGAAAAGGGGCTAGATTAGGCAATAAACTGTGTACACACGACTTAAACTGGGGTCGGTCAAACGTTTTGACACACCCTGCAATGTTGCATTGTGGGGGATATATATATGTTTTTTTTTAATTCAAGATGGCGGTCCATGGGGGAGTCAGCTCTTGGCCTGCTTCCTTTTCAGCACCAGCTCAGCCAAACGGATCATACACTCCTCCTGAAAAAGAGTAGGGGAAAAGGTTATAGGTCCATCACCATCCAAAATTAAATCATGTTTACCATCTCAGCTATTCATGAGAATTTAAGTTTGGTTATTTCCATGTTATTCTACCTACCTACAGCTAACTTGCTGACACTCATCGAAATTGCTTCAGGAAACCTTATACATAAGCGGACACAAAAAAATGGCCTTCTCCTTGGACAGTTGTGGGACTGAGGAGGCGGGCGGACTCTGCTCCTCCCCGCTGTCCTCCTCAGCTGCGGGGTCAAAGTCCCTCGGTCCTCGTCCCTCTGTCCTCGTCCCCTGTCCCCCGCCCCCAGTCTTTTTGCCTCCTCCTGACACCACCTGCTGGATGCTGGAGTCTTCTTCATCCCCTCTGCCGTGGCTGCTGCCGGAGGCTGGGGTTGCGGGTCTTCACGCTGGGTCATGAGGCTGTCAGGTACGGCTCCGGCCCCAGCTTTGGAGCCCTTTCCTGGGAGAGCGCTGCTGCCCTGGGCCTTGAGCGCCGAGAGCTTCACCAGCCCCGCATCAGAGAGAGGTACAAGTTTTAGATGCTGTCTCTCTGCTGATAATAAAGTATTCAATTCAAAAGGGGACATTTTTATAACCCAACAAAAACAATGGTGCAGTTGTCAAATATAATCTATCAATTAAAATTACTTGACACAGCACTCATTTCCGAACAAGTTTGAACTGGAATGGCTATATTCCAAACATCATCCTAGTCTTCTCATGGACATCAAACATGACATTTAAATACAAATGGTGCTTCAGTATTGGGAGTAATATCATGGATTCAGCTGTATTACATTTTCATCTCTTATTAAACTTTGCATGATTGTAGAATAAATAAAACATTTGCCATGATAAGGCAAAAACTGAAAAATAAAGTGGTCCTTTGCAGTAAGTCCCACAAGTTAAAGTAAAAAGAAACTGATGTGTTGGTTTGACCGTCTTTAACTTGTTTGACTTTTGCAGTAACCTGCAAAGGATCACAATGTTTGGAATTTTTCTTAGACGAGAGCAAGCTACTAGTCTATTACATTTCTAAACACAAAATGTTAATTTTGCCATATATTTGTCTAAGACAGACAAAACATCCACATTCCCTCCGTCTGAGTCCAGAGTTTTCCATGCACCACCCGTTCCCAATGTATACTCACATTGGTCACCCGATCTTCCTAGTTCGTGGGCGATCTTCTCCCAGCGTCCAGGTGTTCCCCCAGGGAACTTGGCCCTACTCCTTGTCAGAAGAGTGATGTCCTCTCCGGTGCCTGAGGAAACGACAAACAAGACTAGATCAAAGACAAAGCCATTGTGGCTTACGGTGGTCTAGGGCTGCAAAATTCCATAAACGTTCCCAAAATTCTCTGTTTTTTCCGCAAATCACTGTTGGGGGGAAAAAAAGCAGGAATTTGAGGGATTTTTGGTGAACATAACACAATAATGACCATCCAAAATCGATTCCATCTCGCTTGTTGCCTCAAATTCATGCAATTTGCCTTACTTGATCCTAGAATAGGTTCTATTAGACAGATCAAACTCTGGTAACTGTCAAACTATACCTACAAATGGCAAATAAAACTTTAACTAATGTCGTGGAACAAACCTTTTCACAGCGGGAAAATATTGTGGACCCACCTTCTTCTTCTGAGACGTCTTATCCTCGAGCCAGTCATCCATCTGGTCTTCGATATCCTCGATGGACGTTCCCTGGTCGTACACTGGTGAGTACGCACTGTCTGCGACCGTGAGGGAAGGCTCATAAACAGGGAACTCAAACTTCGGCTTCTTCACTTTGGATCGTTTCTCTTCTTGGGGATGACAAGTGAGGAACGTGATAAGACAAGAGCACAAAACACACGGCTGGGGAAAATGAACCGATGTATCCTAGTTACTGAATTATTTCAGGAAAAAGATTTCTCTCTACAAATAAAACGTATTATGATTTGCTATTTTTGTTTGATACATCTAACCTTTATTTATCCAAGCAGATTAATAAAATAAAGGTTAATAAAATAAAATAAATCTTACTTTTAAATAAAGACCAGGCGAAAGTGAACAGTCAGTCATAATTAGTCATCCTTACTTATTGTTGTAGCTTCCTGTTCACCAGGTTCTGTATATGTTGGTCAACATACCACAGCTAAGGGCCGTTCTTAGGCTGTGAAGCTAAGAGAAAGTGGTTTGGGTAAATGAGTTGGACTACCTGTATGACATGGGGGGAGGGACTTGACAAGAGAGATACAGCCAGGTGCTCAGCTTGAGTGGCAGGATATCCTGCCAATGAGGTTGTGACCTGAAAGGAAAAAGGACATGTTAGTACCGGTGACCATGCTGAAGTGTACATACAACACACATGAATAGGCTTCATGCTAAACAAACAAAGGAGCAATATTCCAATGTGTTTTCCATTACACTTTCACACGCAACTAGCACTTGATGTCTACAATATACGGTTCCGCTGTTTGAGAGGTTAGGCGCGGAGGGGAAGATTTTGCCGTTCTCTTTCACAGCTAAAAAGCAGTGCTGTATTATTATTCAATATGATATTTACTTGTGAAATTAGCAATGTCTTGTGACACTCGCCTCTCCTCAATGTTTTTCCTGTCCGACAAACCGCGATTCTTCAGCACTCGTCTTCCTCCTCCTTTTCTTCTTCTCTTTTTTTCTTACTGGTCAGAAGTTCATCCTAGTAGGAGAAGCACCATATGGAATGAAGAGGTCAAGCAGGTTATTAGTAGCCTATGGCCTCCACTTTGCTCACACACACACAAAAAAAGTATACTTGGTTCAATGGAACCAGTTCATTGCAAATCACTTTTTTTTTATGTATTTTTATTTAATCAGGTAAGCCTGTTGAGAAGTTCTCATTTACAACTGCGACCTGGCCAAGATAAAGCAAAGCAGTGCGATAAAAACAACAACACAGAGTTACATATGGGGTAAACAAAAACGTACAGTCAATAACACAATAGAAAATCTATATACAGTGTGTGCAAATGTAGTAAGTTATGGAGGTAAGGCAATAAATAGGCCATAGTGCAAAATAATTACAATTATAATTTAGTATTAACACTGGAGTGATAGATGTGCAGAAGATGATGTGCAAATAGAGATACTGGGGTGCAAAATAGCAAAATAAATAACAATGTAAATAACAATATGGGGATGAGGTAGTTGGGTGGGCTAATTACAGATGGGCTGTGTACAGGTGCAGTGATCGGTAAGCTGCTCTGACAACTGATGCTTAAAGTTAGTGAGGGAGATAAGTGTCTCCAGCGATTTTTGCAGTTAGTTCCAGTCATTTGCAGCAGAGAACTGGAAGGAATGGCGGCCAAAGGAGGTGTTGGCTTTGGGGATGACCAGTGAGATATACCTGCTGGAGCGCAGACTACGGGTGGGTGTTGCTATGGTGACCAGTGAGATATACCTGCTGGAGCGCAGACTACGGGTGGGTGTTGCTATGGTGACCAGTGAGATATACCTGCTGGAGCGCAGACTAGGGGTGGGTGTTGCTACATTTATTATATGACAGATAAAGAGAAATATGACATCTCTTACATATTCAGTTTGAATAATTCAAGAAGTTCCATTTTGGACTATTTAAATTGAGCATTGTTAAATGGCAGTAATTGGTTATTATAAAAACCTGAATATGCAGCGGCTGAGAAACCCTTTCCTAAATGGCAGCTGTGTATTTCTACTTTCCTACACAGAAAAAAGCTTTTTAAACCCACTTTTTCAGCACTTGGGGGGGGGGGGGGGGGACTAAGTTAGTAGAATTGAAGCCGTGGAATGGATAACAGTCAACTTGAATAACAGCTTGGCAGTAAAAAAAAAAAAAAAAACTGAGAGAAGGGTGAAAGGTCATGCACGGTCCCCTCACCAGCTGCTTCTCCAGGTAGACGGACCAGACGACTGCGTAGTGGCACACGGGGAGGGTGAGGAAGAGCAGGAAGCCCAGCTCCCCGTTGCTCATCTTAGCTCACAAGCCTGTAGTAGAACACTGGATGCCTCCAGTCCGGTAGCCCGTTGACCAGAAAGAAAGGGTGGTTTTGAGGATTTCCCTGATGGCAAATTTTAGGGGTGGTTCACACTACCGTGCCGACCCAAACCATAACTGTGATGGATTTTTTTCTAGCAGTTCCAGCAACTATAGTCAGCAGCAGTACAGCTTGGCTCAGCCCAGCAGTGTGAAAAGGGTATTAGTTTTAAGTGCTTTCCTTATTTTTTGTCCCAACTGCTGCGGCGGGTAACATAGGAAATACATACCAAAATCATACTCCGGGGAATAACATGGGGAGAATATAGTATACCTAATAACGACAGAATACTGTAATGTTCTCTCCACAAAATTGTGTATGATAATGTCAATGTGACAGACTCCTCCCACCTTCACAAGAAAGTAGTGAGAGAAGGTGGGGGGGTAAAACTGACCTCTGTCTCCTCTTCACCTTTCAGTACTTCATAGATGCCCACCAACTAAAGATGATCAGAAAGGCAATAGACAAAAATGGCAATCAATACTTCAACTAATCAGTTAGTTGAAGATTGCAGTGTATGAAAATGACTATACCTCACACTACATTTACTGCATATAAACAGTGTTCCACTTAAACGTTACCTTTTCTAATAACGCTGGGATTTCTCTGTACAGGTGCAGCTCAATAAATTAGAATATTGTGGAAAAGTTAAGTAATTTCAATAATTCAATTGACAAAGTGAAACTCATATACACTGCTCAAAAAAATAAAGGGAACACTTAAACAACACAACGTTAACTCCAAGTCAATCACACTTCTGTGAAATCAAACTGTCCACTTAGGAAGCAACACTGATTGACAATAAATGTCACATGCTGTTGTGCAAATGGAATAGACAACAGGTGGAAATTATAGGCAATTAGCAAGACACCCCCCAATAAAGAAGTGGTTCTGCAGGTGGTGACCACAGACCACTTCTCAGTTCCTATGCTTCCTGGCTGATGTTTTGGTCACTTTTGAATGCTGGCGGTGCTTTCACTCTAGTGGTAGCATGAGACGGAGTCTACAACCCACACAAGTGGCTCAGGTAGTGCAGCTCATCCAGGATGGCACATCAATGCGAGCTGTGGCAAGAAGGTTTGCTGTGTCTGTCAGCGTAGTGTCCAGAGCATGGAGGCGCTACCAGGAGACAGGCCAGTACATCAGGAGACGTGGAGGAGGCCGTAGGAGGGCAACAACCCAGCAGCAGGACCGCTACCTCCGCCTTTGTGCAAGGTGGAGCAGATGGAGCACTGCCAGAGCCCTGCAAAATGACCTCCAGCAGGCCACAAATGTGCATGTGTCTGCTCAAACGGTCAGAAACAGACTCCATGAGGGTGGTATGAGGGCCTGACGTCCACAGGTGGGGGTTGTGCTTACAGCCCAACACTGTGCAGGACGTTTGGCATTTGCCAGAGAACACCAAGATTGGCAAATTCGCCACTGGCGCCCTGTGCTCTTCACAGATGAAAGCAGGTTCACACGGAGCACGTGACAGACGTGACAGAGTCTGGAGACGCCGTGGAGAACTTTCTGCTGCCTGCAACATCCTCCAGCATGACTGGTTTGGCGGTGGGTCAGTCATGGTGTGGGGTGGCATTTCTTTGGGGGGCCGCACAGCCCTCCATGTGCTCGCCAGAGGTAGCCTGACTGCCATTAGGTACCGAGATGAGCTCCTCAGACCCCTTGTGAGACCATATGCTGGTGCGGTTGGCCCTGGGTTCCTCCTAATGCAAGACAATGCTAGACCTCATGTGGCTGGAGTGTGTCAGCAGTTTCTGCAAGAGGAAGGCATTGATGCTATGGACTGGCCTGCCCGTTCCCCAGACCTGAATCCAATTAAGCACATCTGGGACATCATGTCTCGCTCCATCCACCAACGCCACGTTGCACCACAGACTGTCCAGGAGTTGGCGGATGCTTTAGTCCAGGTCTGGGAGGAGATCCCTCAGGAGACCATCCGCCACCTCATCAGGAGCATGCCCAGGCGTTGTAGGGAGGTCATACAGGCACGTGGAGGCCACACACACTACTGAGCCTGTACCTGTACTAAGTTCGTCCATATGGTGGCTAACCCTCCTCCTGGACAGCTGACGGGCATGCAGGCTTTGCAGCCCTACTTCAACACACCTCATTCAGCTGATCAAGGTCCTGATGCGCAGCTGAATCAGATTTGTTAGTGCAGCGCTGGAGCAAAAGCCTGCTCCAGACCTGTACACTTTGTCTGGTGAAGCCACAGCGTCCTATAGCGAGTGTTCCTTGCACGATGAAGAACTAGCTAACGGCATTTAACTACCTACCTTATCTTGCATCAGTTCCTCACTAGAATGGAGGGATGAATGGACAATTGAAGGGGTTATAATAAAAAAAAGAAGGGACGGACACGTCATGGTTTGCTCGTCTCCAGGTAGTCTGGGTACACGTAACTAGTTTACTAACTAGTAAAAAAAATTAAACTACAACAGGCCTCGTCATTGGAACAGATCCCTATTTAGGATTTTAGCTAGTGCTAGTCAGTCAACGTTTACAGGTTACAAAAACAATTAGATATGACTTACCTGCCCAAGAGACAGGAATTTGTAAAAGTTTTGTTGAATTTTCTCCACCAGATCGTAGAGCTCAAGGTCTGAATCCCAGGAACGAGAAGTCTTGGGTAGGCAATAAGAATACTGACCATCACCTCTTCCGGTTTCCACACACGTCACACCGATTTGTAGATGTTTCAAGCCTTCAACATAAAAGCACCAGTTGATGCGCATGATATCCCCCCGAGTCCGATTTCAATCCAGCGTGTCCCTCATTTCAACCCAATTTTAATAATAGGCTATTTTCTCAGGAACCATATGGTCTGTCCACTAGAGCTCATGGGCAACATCGGAAACAGATATAAATAATCTGAAAAGTAATAATGAAATGATAAATTCCCCAAATGTTCGATATTTTCAAAAGTACGTGTTAATTAACATAGTTTCTGAAAAAATCGTGGAACTTTGTTAAATAACCAGGAAGTTTGCAATCCCAGAGAAAGCCATATAAAACAAAAACCAATTTTGGAACGTGAACTTCTCTGATTCTGTTATACTGATCTCGGTGACTTGTGCAAAACAGAGGGACATTTAAGTAATGACAAGTTTAATGGATTTTATTTTATTTGTATCTCCTCAAGATATCCACTTTGGAGTAAACCTTGAGTAGGTTGTTATGAAAAATGAAATATACAGGAATAGACACATTTCTGATGTGTCTGTTTGGAAAAGGCCATTAATTCTTCTGATTGAAAAACATACTCCATCACAGGAGGCTGGTGTCACCTTATTTGGGGAGGATGGGCTCATGGTAATGGCTGAAGCGGAATCAATGGAATGGTATCAAATACATGGAACACATGGTTGCTCCATTCCAGCCATTATTATGAGATGCCTCCCCTCAGCAGCCTCCACTGTACTCCAAGTACTGCACACTAAAGAAGGGACCATTAGTAACATTTGGGCAGGTCACTCTTGCTACAAAGCAACACAAATTAATAAATGAAATACCCCCACATTCAGACTATATCATTTTTTGATTGTATGTGCTTAGCACCACCAAAGAAAAATACTTCCATCCATTGAGACCAGGGTCTCTTTCACAAGGGAGCCCTGCATATAGAATTTATAAGATAAATCAAATACAACACAAAACCAGTAAAACACAGCACAACACAAATATTCAAGAAAAAACCATGACATTCCTCAATAAGACGGTCGCCCAATCAATATTTTTAAATTGCCCGAGCGGCACCAGAACATCCAATTGTAATGTATTTTGTAGTTGGTTCCAGCAACGAGGTGCTTCAAAACTAAAAGCGGATTTACCTAGTTCGGTGGAGACCCGAGGAACATGAAGAGTTAACCAACCTTGTGAACAGGTTTGGTATCCCATGTTTTTATATTTTAACAGAAAAGTTGGGTAAGTCGGAAACTCGTGTAGTAGAGCTTTGTAAACAAAAAGGGAATAGTGGAGTGATCTACGGGACGATCACCTGATGCATTAAAAAAAGTCACGACCGGCCTTTTGAAAACCGCTAATTTGTCGGTAAAACTTCCTGTCAACTTAACTAAATACGCTAGACGAGGTGGGATATTTTTTTGGGGGTTAGATTAAATAGATTACCCAACAATTGCGGTGGAAAAACCACCATGTCGCATTAAACTTTGAGTCACGCAAATATGTTGTAGCCTACTACCGGGACATGGAAAAGCAATGCAGTTTACAGGCAGATGGAATAAGTTATGAACTTCATAACTTATGGTGGTTAAGTGCACGGTGATGAGCTTCATGCAAATGTCCAATGATGCTGGTGACTTGATGGCTGCCAATTATAACAATCAAAAAAGGATATTGATTTTATCCATATCTCATCATATAACCTACCTTGTCCACTTTATCAGCGGACTGTTGTCTATAGAGAATGCGCCAAAACCAGATTGGGCAAGTAATACCATTTATCGCAAGAGTTTGTGACAAAACCATCCGTAGAGTTGAAAATGCAATGGAGACACATTTATTTGGTACATGAAAACTTAAGCGCAAAAGTGCTTTTATGTGCACTACACCATCACGTACAGCATTTTAAGTTTGATGGAAACACCTCCGGTGAGAAAATGCGCATATTCTTTCTATATGGACTATTCACATGAAAATCCTTCACCAATTGGATGGAAACCTAGATAGTGACTTTGAAATTGATGCAATTTTAGGACCTGTGCAGTGCTATAGCATTTTCCGCACACCGTGCACTTGTAAGGTTTCTCCCCTGTGTGAACCCTCATATGTGCGGTTAGGTTTTCCTTCCGGCCAAAACATTTCTCACATTCGTTGCACTGGTATGGTTTCTCTCCTGTGTGAATCCTTGTATGGGTATTCAGGTGTCCCTTATGAAGGAAGCATTTACCACATTCTTTGCATTGATATCGTTTCTCTCCTGTGTGAGTCTTGTGCATTTTCAGATTAGAATATATGTGAATCACCATATGTCTGTCCAGGTTATGCTTACTGGGGAAACATTTCTCACATTCTTTGCACTGATACAATTTATCCTGTGTGTGAATCTTCATATGTGTATTCAGCTGTCCACTATGAATGAAGCATTTGCCACATTGTTTGCATTGATATCGCCTCTCCCCTGTGTGAACCAACATATGTTGTTTCAGATGAGACTCAACGGAGAAGCGTTTACTACAAACATCACAATAATATATTTCTGTAGTGTGAGTTTGCAGGTGGTCGATCATACAATCTGTGGACTCAAAGTCTTCTCCACACACGCCACACAGGCAGTCGTCGTTCTTTGTGTGTGCTTGTCGCACGTGATGGATGAAATGCTCCATGAAAACAAAAGTATTTCCACACACCTTGCAAGAAAAAGGAACAGAATGGCTTTGAATGGGGGATTTAAAATGGGGCAACTGTGTGGCTGTCTTGTCATCAATACTGGTATGGGAACTTTGGCCTTGTTTTACCCACGTTCTGTTTGATTTGAGTAGTGTAGATCCCGGCAGCAGTTCTCCACGTTCCATCCCATTGTCACTGGCTTCACTCTGAGCTGCAGAACAGCCAGGATTTACTGCAAATAGAGGATGAGAGTCACTAGTTGGTTCTGTTACTCCGTAGTTCTGTCCATCAGGTTCTGTTACTCCGTAGTTCTGTCCATCAGCTTCTGTTACTCCGTAGTTCTGTCCATCAGCTTCTGTTACTCCGTAGTTCTGTCCATCAGGTTCTGTTTTGATCTCTTCCGTTGTGTTGGTGGGTATAGAGTCCCTCTCCCTGTTCTCCACCGTTTGAGTTTGGTAAAGATGTGAGAGCTGAGGTGGGCCCTGATCACTGCAGTCACTTTTCACACAGGCACTAGTGAATGTGGACTCTTTGGTGTCAGCCTCCAGCCCTTGAAGCTGCTCTTCCCCCCGACTGGTCCTGAACTCCTCGTGTTCCTCTTTAATCTGTGTGGCCTCTGGGTCCTCCTGCCCCAGACTTGGGCTCCACTCCTGCTCACAGTGTTCCTGCTCAGGCGGAACCTCCTCTTCAGATACAAGGAGAGTGAATTGCTGGGGGTCTGAAAAGAAAACAAACGGGAAATATTGCTGTATAATTTCATATTTAAAATGTAATGAGTGTATCATACAGTTCCCTGTGCCCTACAGCAGAAATGCCCTACTGCTATCACTACAGTCTGCAGCTAACTGTAAGATTTATCACAACTAGCTAGTTAGTGAAGCCAACGCTATGTATTAACCTTAAATGACTGGCAGGGGGCGCTGTTTTGAAGCCACCGTGCAGCCATTTCGGTTAATTTGAGTAATTTAGCAGCAGAGTGCATACATTTGTATACTTTTTTGGTACTCCTCCATTGTAAAAAAAAAAAAAGGTTTTGGAAGCTATAGAAATGGATTTTATTAAATGTCTACATTCGTTTTTTGACACGTGTATTCTATTAACAACTTTAATACATACATTACAATTATATTCAAGTACCACAAGAGCAGAAATGCACATTTTTTTCCACTGAAAGACGATGCCCAGAGCTGACCCCATGACGTTGCACAAAGACTGAAGTCAACAAGTCATTGTTTTAGTCAAAGTATGATATAGCTGGGTTTGAAGTGGGAAATCCGAGTGGAGACTTCGTGTTTTTTTTCTTCTCTCGTGTCAATGTCGTGTTTCCCCTATGACAGGGTTCTTCAATTCCGGTCCTGGAGGGCCGAAACACCTCTGTTTTTCATCCTCTCCTTCTAATCAGGGGCTAATTCAGACCTGGGACACCAGGTGAGTGCAATTAACTACCAGGTAGAAATAAAAAAACAGAAGTGTTTCGGCCCTCCAGGACCGGAATTGAAGAACCATGCCCTATGATATGACGTGCTAATACTTTTCAGTCTACGTTCCTTTTCAGGACTGGGTTTTATTTTAATGTTACCACCCACCAGCATGGCATTGTTTATTAACATGGGCACGGACTCTACGTCTATGTCGAAAGCGTTCTACCGGGTTGCTGGCCCATGTTGACTCCAATGCTTCCCACAGTAGTGCCAAGTTGGCTGGATGTCCTTTGGGGGTGGGGGGTGGGGTGGGGGTGGGGGGTGGGGGGGGGGGGGGGGGGGGGGGGGGGGGGGGGGACCATTCTTGATAAACACAGGAAACTGTTTGAAAAACCCAGAAAGTGTTGCAGTTCTTGACACACTCAAAACTGGTGCACCCTGGCACCTACTACCATACCCTGTTCAAAGGCACTTAAAACGTTTGTCTTGCCCATTCACCCTCTGAATGGCACATATACACAATCCATGTCTCAATTGTCTCAAGGCTTAAACATCCTTCTTTAACCTGTCTCCTCCCCTTCATCTACACTGATTGAACTGAATTTAACAAGTGACATCAATAAGGGAACATAGCTTTTACCTGGATTCACCTGGTCACTCTGTCACGGAAAGAGCAGGTGTTCTTAAAGTTTTGTATACTCAGTGTGTATTTGTATATACATGTATAACCATTTTATAAATGCTATAATTGCGTGATATGATTGCATTTTGCAACCCTGCTCCCGCCGTCGCCCCAAGATGAATGGTTTTGACCACTAAAGTCTTTCTTCACTACACGCTTCACTGCTTTGATTAGTGCAGCTAAACCACAAGGTGTCTACCCTATAATGAACAGGTACCGCAAAAGAAAATGAAAGGAACTTGTTTATCTATTTTGTTGTGATGTTACATTTGTATTGGTGTTTTGTGTCTGATGCACTCTGGGTGTTGTTACATCTCATTTGCGACATGCATCATGACCAAAGTCATTGTAGCCTATAATTTCACCTCTCCGGTGAGAACCATGAGCACGGGCTGACTTGGCTTTGCTGTACTTGGCTTTGTAGCTCACCTACAAAAGGTTGCGCCGTCAATTACAATGTAGAAAAACGCACGTCTCTAATGGAAGACGCCAAAACTTTGGAGTTAACAATAGATGGTGAAGTCGAAGATACTGCTTTCAAATCAAATCAAATTTGATCTGTCACATGCGCCGATTACTACAGGTGTAGACTTTACCGTGAAATGCTTACTTACAAGCCCTTTCCCAACAATGCAGGGTTAAAAAGTATTAAAAGTGGGTAGAAAATAAACAAGGAAATAGTAACAATAAAATAACAATAATGAGACTACATACAAGGAGTACCGGTACTGGTCTGTGGCGAAGATTTCCCTAAATGCTTATGACAAATCCAGCTCCAGAACCAGCTGGCTCACCTTTTGAATATGATGTAGTAAAAAAACAACAATAACAGCAACAACAGATAACATTAGCTAGCTATAAGGTTAGCATTCTAGCTAGATAAGGTTAGCATTCTAGCTAGATAAGGTTAGCATTCTAGCTAGATAAGGTTAGCATTCTAGCTAGCTACACTAACAGCTGTCAGTTTCCTATGTGTTAATGTTTCTCCACTCCACGTGGAAATCACCATGACATTATTTCCCACCCCCAATTCGTGAATATGTATATAACTAGCCTGCGTCATTCTTCGGAGGTAAAACCTAAACAAGCGTTATCGCTCTAGAGCAGGAATTAGGTCGAAATAGGGGCAGCATTGCCCTCTGGTGGGCGCCTTTAAACGTCTGCCGATCGTTCAGCGCGCTGTGTTTTGGCGACCACCGGCTGTAGGCATTTTTCACACGATTCAACATGTAAAACTCGGTTCGCAAGTTATGTTAAAAGGAGCTACGTACTCTCGACCAGCAAATGCTATTTGTGTGTCTGTGCCCTAATTGAACTGAACATGAAAATGTTATTTAAAAATATATAACCTATTCCTTAAAATATATTTTTTGAGTAGTAATGTTACTGTCCCCACTACAACAAATAAATACATGTACTTTTGTCATTTTATTGAAATACTGTAGAATTCCATTCATTCCTGTGGAGGACTACTCCTTCTGGGATAATGGCAGCGGTCATGGCTAGAAGGGATCCAGCTTTTGTCAAATTAATGTCAACCGTTGAATTCTTTAGCATTTTTGCTAACCTTAACCTAAGTCTCCTAACCTGCGACGAAAAAAGTCAAATCGGACGTTAAATTGACAAAAGCTGGATCCCTTCTAGCCATGACCCTTCAAAGCCCGCGATTGGTCCATTACATAGCATCAACAATCCAGGGTTTATACGCATCATTGGGTGTAGCTAGCTAACGTTAGCTTACCTAGGCAGTGTGCCCTATTTAAATTGTTATGTTATCACATTTAGTTAGATGTCCCATTGATTCCATACAGACCTGCTCTATGAAACTTTGGCTTGGTTAACAAATCAAGCAGTCGTCGCAGACGTTCGTTCTCTTCCTGATAATCTGTTATTGTTCTCTCTACTGCCACGGATATCTCTGCAGCAGCTGCTGTTAATCGTTCAGTCAGATACGCGTTGAACAACTGTAGTTTAGACATTTTGGTCGAAATAAAAGTCGATAAATATGTAATATTCCGTTCAAGTTGTGCATGTAGCCTACATTTCGCAAGGTGCGAAATTTCCCACAATCCTGTGTTTGTCTTCTTCTTCGTGTGATTTTCCGGCAGACTAGAAGCTGTGCTGCGTGTTGCTGCGTCTCGTTGGTCGGAGTGCGGATTAAACATTTGATCACAAAAAAAGGGAGAGGGGGGAAATCTTAAATTGCACCAACATCTAACACTGCACCTATACACTATCCCCCAAAACCCACCACCCCATCTTCCCACTACTTTGGAACCCCTTTTCTCAAAACTCCCTGTAGATGTTCTGCACAAAAATATTTTATTCCCTAGTTAATATAATAATAAGCCATTTAGCAGACGCTTTTATCCAAAGCGACTTACAGTCATGCGTGCATACATTTTTTTTTTGTGTGTATGGGTGGTCCCGGGGATCGAACCCACTACCTTGGCGTTACAAGCGCTGTGCTCTACCAGCTGAGCTACAGTGTTTCAAACAGGATAATTGATTTGAAATGGGGTTTCTCAGTACAATCTGCCATATTTTCTCAGTACAATCTGCCATGATTTGGAAAGGCACACAACTGTCTATATAAGGTCCTACAGTTGACAGTGCATATCAGAGCAAAAACCAAGCCATGAGGTCGAAGGAATTGTCCGTAGAGCTCTGAGACAGGATTGTGTCACAGAGGCACAGATCTATGGAAGGGTACCAAAAGATTTCTGCAGAATTGAAGGTCCCCAAGAACACAGGGAGGTGACCAAGAACCCGATGGTCACTCTGACAGAGCTCCAGAATTCCTCTGTGGAGATGGGAGAACCTTCCAGAAGGACAACCATCTCTGCAGCACTCCACCAATCAGGCCTTTATGGTAGAGTGGCCAGAAGGAAGCCACTCCTCAGTAAAAGGCACATGTCAGCCTGCTTGTAGTTTGCCAAAAGGCACCTAAAGGACTCACCTCAGACTGGGGTGAAGGTTTACCTTCCAAAAGGACAACGAACCTAAGCACACAGCTAAGACAATGCAAATGTAAGAGTGGCTTCGGGACACGTCTCTGAATGTCCTTGAGTGGCCCACCCAGAGCCGGGACTTGAACCCGATCCACCATCTCTGGAGAGACCTGAAAATACCTGTGCAGCGACGCTCCCCATTCAACCTGACAGAGCTTGAGAGGATCTCCAGAGAATAATGGGAGAAACTCCCCAAATACAGGTGTGCCAAGCTTGTAGTGTCATACCCAAGAAGACTCAAGGCTGTAATCGCTGCCAAAGGTGCTTCAACAAAGTACCAAGTAGGGTCTGAATACTTATTTTTATTTTTAATCAGTTAATTTGTAGAATACAGTTTGAAATGTTAACGACTCATATTTTTTCAGTCCTTGAATCAGTTCATTTTTATAACACCAATAATAACACCACCAATTAGGACATCCCCATCAATGAACTCTTCTTCAACCAGAGCTTTGGAAATCCCCTCCTCCTTGCACAGAAACTGTACCTGAGGTAACACTCCCTCTCTTTCACAGACTGTATGATTTGGTCTCTACAAGGTACTACAGACATCTTCAACCCTAAACAAAGAGTCTCAAGGTGTATGGCCCCTCGGTGGGTTCAGAGATATATCTATGTGTTTAGAGTCTCAAGGTATATGGCCCCTCGGTGGGTTCAGAGATATATCTATGTGTTTAGAGTCTCAAGGTATATGGCCCCTCGGTGGGTTCAGAGATATATCTATGTGTTTAGAGTCTCAAGGTATATGGCCCCTCGGTGGGTTCAGAGATATATCTATGTGTTTAGAGTCTCAAGGTGTATGGCCCCTCGGTGGGTTCAGAGATATATCTATGTGTTTAGAGTCTCAAGGTATATGGCCCCTCGGTGGGTTCAGAGATATATCTATGTGTGTAAGACCTACTGGAGTTGGCAGTGAGCAGTAGTCCCGACACCATTGAGGTAACTAGACGACTTGTGCTGTAGCCGAACTGGAGAGGACCTTGACCAGAGTTGAAGCGATGAGAGGAGACCTTCCCAAAAGCTAAGTACTTCTCCATTCAACATATACCCCGCCTCTCCATTTACCTTTGATTTTCAATGACCTGATCACGCTTTGTTGATTTCCCCATTGGGTTGTGGATTTATCTACTATTATTCTTTATTGTTTTTTGCCATTACTGTATTCCTGCTTTTGGAAACCCCTTCCACCTTCCCCCCTATTTCACGCACTGTATGATTTGGTCTCTAGAAAGGTACGACAGACATATTCAACTCTAAACGGACGGGAACCAGAGTTCAGACAGAGGTGGCCTTAACAAAAGTTAAGTACTTCTCCATTCCATTACGATTTTTTAAAATCATGTTTGGAGAGAGTCAGGTGCTTTTAAGATATACGGCCTATGGTTGAGGTCTATTGTATTTTGCTCTATGGCGCTTTAGCACAACAGCGCCATCTGCTGACAGAATATCTGTATTCCACTCAGTACAATATGACCCAGTAGAGGCCTACTGCAAGCACTAGATTGGAGCCTTCAGAGCGTGCCTGCCGTGGGAGGACAACAGAACATTCTGAATGGACATTAAAACAGAACTTTACCTTTTGGAATGCCCAATCGGGACGTTTATAAATTGTTAAAATAAATAATTGTGTGGAAGGCCCTACAGTCTGCTCCTCAGTAAAAATAAAATAAAAAATCAAGATAGGGATTCAACTGGACCGGTGGTTCAGCTCCCGTTACATTTTCATTTTATATCATTGTGATTAACAGCAGCCTACTAGTTAGCAACATAACATTGTTGACACATTGTGACAGCTGGAATAATGTGGTTGAAGCTGGACTAGTGCAGGGCTCTCCAACCCTGTTCCAGGAGAGCTGCTGTCCTGTAGGTTTTCACTCCAACCCTAATCTAGCGCACCTGATTCTAATAATTACCTGGTTAATCAGGTTAGTTACAACTGAGGTTGGATCAAAAACCTACAGGAGGGTAGCTCTCCGGGAACAGGGTTGGAGATCCTTGGACCAGTGGACCTAGTGCTTAGATCAATGCATTTGGAATCTATCACTACAAAGTCACTACAAAGGTGCAGTTCCCAGAAGTGGAGCTGTCACTTAATGCAATTGATGGGAAGCCTTATTGCATATAGATCTAATTAAATTCTAATTGTTGAAGTTAATTTGTTCATAAATGTACGACATCAAATTATCCGATTTGGATGAGTTGGCTGCAATGTGGCAGCAGTACTTCAGTCAATGACAGCAAAGGATTAGTGTTTCTGAAAAACAACTAAACCATAAAACACCAAGACAAACAACAATATGGACTGTATAATTTCAGATTAATGATCATCACGTGAACATCAACAGCCAATACGGATATACTAACAATACATAGACGGTAAGTAGACAAATGCTTAAATGTTGATGTGCAGTCAAAATAAATAAATGGCGTACCCATGCATACTATTATACACAGACATAACTTAAACTTTCAAACACTCAATTGCTACTGTACTTTAGTGCTACTGGGTCAAATGTATGCATTCTACAAATTCTGTATCATAAAAAAAAAATATATTTTGAAATACAATGGATTTAGCTGCCAAATATGTCTGCTCACTTAGTCTCCATTAGTCTGACAAGTGGGCAGAAAATAGGTACATTAAGACATTCTAAGAACAGGGTCAGAAATGTACAAGTCTTTAGTACATATATGAAGTGGTGAAAGAGGGAAGAGGGAACACAATACAAGTAATTCCCCCTCCAATGTTCTAGCTATTATGTGTCACTCTCCACTAAGGTGTGTTTATGCAACACTGAAATGAGGGGGAATTCGCAATACCTGAGGTCATGAATTCCCTAAAGGCATTGTAGGTGCTATGAAAAGGGGAGCCTTAGCGTCACAGCACACGTGTTTGCCTCTGGGTACTTTTTCTTCTGCTGCCCAGCGAGACTGCCTCTCGCTGTGTGGAGGAACTCGATGGTCGGGGTTTCCTCAAACCCCAGGGTTGACACCACCGGTAGCAAACTCCAACGCCATCGCCACTGTTAGAGGAGGACGTTCTCCATCTGAGGAGTACACAGTGAAACATTTAAAAATACACGTTTAAATCACAAACGGAATAATAGACAGTTGCCGATTAACATTTAACAATTGAACTGCTATCTTACCTTGCACCTCGGCCAGCCAGTTGAACCAGCGGCAAATGGTGTCGTTCTCCAACCACCGCCGGTTGCCGCCTGGAATGGAATATCAAATCAAATCAAATTAGATTTTTCACATGCGCCGAATACAACGGGTGTAGACCTTACCGTGAAATGCTTACTTACAAGTCCTTAATCAACCATGCAGTTCAAGAAAGAGTTAAGAAAATATTTCTAAATAAACTAAGGTAAAAAATAATAATAAGTATCACAATAAAATAACGAGGCTATATACAGGGGGTACCGGTACCGAGTCAATGTGCGGGGGTACAGGTTCAGGTCCCTGGCAGTTCTAAACAGGTCCTTCAGGTCCCTGGCAGTTCTAAACAGGTCCTTCAGGTCCCTGGCAGCTCTAAACAGGTCCTTCAGGTCCCTGGCAGTTCTAAACAGGTCCTTCAGGTCCCTGGCAGTTCTAAACAGGTCCCTAAGGTCCCTGGCAGTTCTAAACAGGTCCTTCAGGTCCCTGGCAGTTCTAAACAGGTCCCTAAGGTCCCTGGCAGTTCTAAACAGGTCCCTAAGGTCCCTGGCAGTTCTAAACAGGTCCTTCAGGTCCCTGGCAGTTCTAAACAGGTCCCTAAGGTCCCTGGCAGTTCTAAACAGGTCCCTAAGGTCCCTGGCAGTTCTAAACAGGTCCTTCAGGTCTCTGGCAGTTCTAAACAGGTCCTTCAGGTCCCTGGCAGTTCTAAACAGGTCCCTAAGGTCCCTGGCAGTTCTAAACAGGTCCTTCAGGTCCCTGGCAGTTCTAAACAGGTCCCTAAGGTCCCTGGCAGTTCTAAACAGGTCCCTAAGGTCCCTGGCAGTTCTAAACAGGTCCTAAGGTCCCTGGCAGTTCTAAACAGGTCCTTCAGGTCCCTGGCAGTTCTAAACAGGTCCCTAAGGTCCCTGGCAGTTCTAAACAGGTCCTTCAGGTCCCTGGCAGTTCTAAACAGGTCCCTAAGGTCCCTGGCAGTTCTAAACAGGTCCCTAAGGTCCCTGGCAGTTCTAAACAGGTCCTTCAGGTCCCTGGCAGTTCTAAACAGGTCCTTCAGGTCCCTGGCAATTCTAAACAGGTCCCTAAGGTCCCTGGCAGTGGGAGGCTTTATGAGGTCCACAAAAAGTGCTCGGAAGCTGTCCGGGTGGTTCCCCAATGCCTCCAGCAGCCCAAGAGAGTTGAGACCATATTTGAACCTGTTAGGGTTTAGAGACCGTATGTGTATATATAAAAATAAGTGTTAAGGACAATTTAGTGATGTGTATTGGTTAAGGGAGGTGGACCGATTAAAACAAAATTTATGTTAGAGGAGGTAATGACAAGTACTTCACATAGATTTATAACAGAGTTGGCCACCTGCATGCTCCCTTGGACAAATTGTTGAGCCACCAATTCAACCACACCATCCCTGTCCATAATTGTCTTGACAACGATCATTTTCAGCCTCAGTAGGCACAGCCAGTCAGTTCATCCAATTTGTTCTTCACCTCTGATAGGTCCTCTGCTTTTTTGATCTAGAATTTTCGAGAGAATCTAGAAAAATATGACAGGCAATCGAGAATTTTAAACACAGAAAAAGAAACCATACATGTAAAAAAGGATGATCTATTATTTCCTTTCGCTGTTAGGGAGGATATACAACTTACATTTTTCCAAACGTGCTCTCAGAGTAGTGTGGTTCACCCCCTCCAGTCTGAGTAGTGTGGTTCACCCCCTCCAGTCTGAGTAGTGTGGTTCACCCCCTCCAGTCAGAGTAGTGTGGTTCACCCCCTCCAGTCTGAGTAGTGTGGTTCACCCCCTCCAGTCTGAGTAGTGTGGTTCACCCCCTCCAGTCTGAGTAGTGTGGTTCACCCCCTCCAGTCTGAGTAGTGTGGTTCACCCCCTCCAGTCTGAGTAGTGTGGTTCACCCCCTCCAGTCTGAGTAGTGTGGTTCACCCCCTCCAGTCTGAGTAGTGTGGTTCACCCCCTCCAGTCTGAGTAGTGTGGTTCACCCCCTCCAGTCTGAGTAGTGTGGTTCACCCCCTCCAGTCTGAGTAGTGTGGTTCACCCCCTCCAGTCTGAGTAGTGTGGTTCACCCCCTCGGGTTCCCCCAGTCTGAGTAGTGTGGTTCACCCCCTCCAGTCTGAGTAGTGTGGTTCACCCCCTCCAGTCTGAGTAGTGTGGTTCACCCCCTCCAGTCTGAGTAGTGTGGTTCACCCCCTCCAGTCAGAGTAGTGTGGTTCACCCCCTCCAGTCTGAGTGGAGGAGCAGGCTTCCCACACACTGCTGCGAAGAGTCGCTCAGAGAAGACGTGTGGCCCAGCTCCTCCATGGACCACACACACACTGAACCATTTTCCCCAATGGTTCCATACAGGGCCTCATGTGATGCTAAAAATACCATTTCAAATGTGTGCCAACTTTATTATCCCTATGATCTCTCGCCCTGGACAAAGCACCTGAAAAAGCCTCTTCACTAATTGTTTGGGCTTAAATTCTGTATTGTACATGAAAATCAGACCTGAACACAGGTACAGAGAAGGACATCAAGGGACAGCAGTTTCACTCCTTCGGGACCCTCGAAGACCCCCTTGTTCAACTGCCCCCTCCACCTTGGACTCAACGTCCACAAAGGCAACGTCCATCTTAGCCCCGTTTTTGCGTTGAAACGCATGCAGGCTACTGTTTAGGACGTTGCCTCTGTGGACGTTTATCATGTTGGTGATGGGGCAGTTGTCCTGGTACGCTCGGCTTCAGAGAGTACGGAAAACGGCACGTGGGGAGGGGGTTGATCCTAAGGGAAAATACTCTGACATTTAGTTTATAAACAAATGGTCTTAAAACAACTCTGTCTCTGGATCCGATGATGGAGGTGAGGAAGGTGAGGGAGAAGGTGAGGGGTGATAAGAAGGAAAGAGTGAGGACGTTGAGGGTGAGGGGTGATAAGAAGGAACGTTTGGTGATGAAGGAGGTCAGTGGAGAGGAGGCTGGTGAGAAGAGAGGACAGGTAAAAGGTGAGAAAAGAGCACAGGTGAGAGGTGTTGAGAGGGGACAGATGAGAGATGAGGCGATAGGATTACCTGTAATTGGACAGAAACAACCACACACAAAAGTTATAACTATCAAGTAGTTAAACTGTAGTCCGATACAAACATCAAATGTATTATTATTAAGTAGTGTCGTGCTAGTCACCAGATCCTCCACAGACAGTGTTGTGGACTCCCGACTGTCATGCTCCTCCAATGACCCGTTAACCGTGCTCTTCAGGGCTGAGAAGCCCGCTGCCGCCTGGGGGGGTAAAAACCTCGCTCGAGGCATCATCCTCCCCCACAAAATCAAACATAATCTCTATAACAAAATACCAACATTAACAATTGTAATTCAGCCTGAAATTTACATTTATTCATTAAATTGTTTATCAACAATTGAATGAATTACTTACCTGAATGGACTCAGAGAGCCGGAATCTCCTAATCCGCTCACTCCCATCCGGGTATTTGATCTTAAAGGGCCACCCTCTGCCTTCTTTCTTGTATAATATTTTTTGGTACTTTTACCCCTTTTTCGTGATATCCAATTGGTAGTTACAGTCTGGACTCGGGAGAGGCGAAGGTGGAGAGCCATGCGTCATCCGAAACACGACCCTGCCAAGCCGCACTGCTTCTTGACACACTGCTCGCTTAACCCGGAAGCCAGCCGCACCAATGTGTCGGAGGAAAAACACCGTCCAGCTGGCAACCGAAATCAGCTTGCAGGCGCCCATGCCTGCCACAAGGAGTCACTAGAGCGCAATGGGACAAGGAATTCCCAGCCGGCAAAACCCTCCCCTAACCCAGACGATGCTGGGCCAATTGTGCGCCACCTCATGGGTCTCCCGGTTACAGACCAGGGATCGAACCCGGGTCTGTAGTGACGCTTCAAGCGCTGCGATGCAGTGCCTTAGACCACTCCGCCACTCGGGAGGCCCCTTCTCTCCTTTATTGACTACAATATGCATTACTGTTAGTGTTAAGTGATAAATATATTTATACCACAGCATTGATGAATTCTAGAATGGGCGTTAAAACCAGTTCAGAAAGAAAATGGCACATAGAAATACGTTTAACCATTTATTAAGCAATGAATAATGCAAGTCTTGGCGAAATAGGCTCTGCTCCTTTGGGGGTAGCTTTACTGCCCAAGCAAAGTATCAAAATAAAATTAGCCTACAGGCAGTGAGTGTGGTAAGCTATACCAATGCCCCCGGCAGGAACACCGAACCTAACAAGTGGAGGCTGTGGTGGTGGTGGGAGTAAGAACCCAGTGCATAGTAGCAGTAGCAGCAAGAAGCAGGTGGTGGGAGTAAGAACCCAGTGCATAGTAGCAGTAGCAGCAAGAAGCAGGTGGTGGGAGTAAGAACCCAGTACATAGTAGCAGTAGCAGCAAGAAGCAGGTGGTGGGAGTAAGAACCCAGTACATAGTAGCAGTAGCAGCAAGCAGCAGAAGGACTTCTGCTGATAAATGTGTGCTTTAGTATTATTTCCTTTGGCAACTGTGTTATAAGCGGGATAAACGACCTCCTTTCTATACATTACCTTGGAAAAAAGAACTCTGCATAGGGACTCGGCTCCGCCTTGTCCCGCTGCGTCGTCCATTATTTCCAAGGTAATGTACAGAACGTTGGCGTTTATCCCTTACATAATACACAGATGATATCAACTTGGTGAAATCCCTCACCTTCCTCCGCCTGGTCTCCCACTCCTCAAAACGATGACCTTTCATCTCCTGTGGCTAAAATAAGTATTTAATTAATCTGTTATGAAAAGTGTTTCCTATTGGAATGTCGATGATGTGTGATTTGAACAGATTTACTAAGTTATATTATATACATACTTTCTCCTGGTCTGCAGCCAGAGAGAGATGGTAGGCCTCGTCTTGAAGACGCCGTAACTCCCGCAGTAATAAACAAAGCCATTCGGATTGTTAAATTACAAGAAGAACCCTATAACTAATATTATACTTTGTAATTTGATGATAAAAGTGGAAAAGGTAATTTAACATTCCAAACCTCTAGTGTCACTGAAGCGTGTGGTGAGGTTGTCTCCTCCCTAGTTTATTTTAACATAAAAATACAAGAAAACACTAGTTACTCAAATACTTTATTATTTTTGTATACAGAGGGAAATCCAGTTTCTTTTCAAATTAATTCATTACCTCTGGCATTTATCACGTGACATAATAAAGCTCAATCTACCTCCCCCCTTCCTAACCAGTGGCGATTTTAGCATGTAAATCTTGGTGGGTCAAACTCAAAATGTTTTCTAGATGCATGCCAGCAAAGCCACTACACACAACACAACACTAAACAATACATTAATTGCACTATAACGGTGACAAACAATGCCCACAAACTGTTAGGGCCTACATAAAGCTGTCCCAACAGCATTCCCAACACCTTACCACTGCTACACCTGGCTATCAGCGGAGCCTTGTTTGGCAGTGAAACAGTTAATTCAGCCTCATTTACTGCCTTTCAAAAACATTTGGTTTCTACTGTCAATTGAGATGTACAAACTATGGCATAACGGGACGACGAGCGGATAAGAGGCAATCCGTAATTTCGATTAAAACATTATTGAGCGAGCTAGAATGGACGTAGTCAATATAACTATTTGTTCAGCACTTTTGAAATGTACAGCGACAGAATTCAGAACATGGGCCGTTCTTACAGTATTCTCCCTGTACACCAAGTCATAACCGTAGGATAAATAAAGGGGGCATATAAGCAGACAATGAAAGCTCTTACAATATTCGATGATTACATTTCTCTAAAACAGGCTACATGTGCACCACCAAGTCAGAACAGTAGGCGAAATTAAGAGCGGGGGAAAAGGGACCAAATGATTAGGGTGAGGCACATGGGCTACTAACAGTTTACTACACAACATACACTTAATATTACTTTCTTAGCTACAGTATACATATCTCCCTGGCATATTACATTTATGCAGCAGCATACAATCAATTTTTTGGACTCACTTTGTTGTGCTGTGCTCACTTGAATAGGAAGGTGGCGTGGCGGTCCTTCGTGGGCAAATTTTGTCATCAAACTTTGTTATCAAAGTCTGACATTCTCTGAATTTATGGTGCTTTCAAGACAACTGGGAACTCGAGAAAATGATCTTCAGGTCGGAGCTCTAGAAAGAGGCCCGAGTTCCCGATTTGGAATTCCGAGTTGGATGACATATTTTCCCAGACGGAGCTAGTTTTTTTTCTTGAGTTCCCAGTTGTCCTGGACAGACTGAAGTCTGAGATTTCCCAGTTCCGAGTTTCCAGTTGTTTTGAACGCGGCAGAAGTCATGCTGGATTGACAGCATGGCCAATGTTGAATGATTATCCTTTTAAGCTTGGAAAAGAGACCCTTAAACCCAGACTTGGGACCACACAGCCAATCCACTGAATAGCAGGCTAGTGATTGCTTTGCAACGCTTGCAGTTAGCCACTGATTCCTTCTAAACCACTCATTGTTGAATTTGCGATTTCCAACTTGTTGTGTAATGTTTATGGCCGATGAGCACCGATACGTTTTATCTATAATTTATCTTCATAAGACAAGGATTGAATAAGGATTTGCCAGTAGATTATCGTCATGATGATGACTGCTAGCTAAGATTTTGAAAGTATGATGTTGACATGATCAGTCCAATCAAAGCTACGGTAGATATAACATGATTTGACATCATTTTATCTGTGGCCAATGACCTTGAGCCTTCTTGGATGGGCACTTCTAATGTAACTATATGGCAGCACCCAAGGGGCTTCAATGTTTTAGCTCTCCCCGTAGATTTTGCGGTGACATAGTGTCCCCATGAGTGACAGATCACTGAGGCAATCACGGCACAACTAGAGAACATTACCAACCCCTACCCTCTGTATCCTCCGCTGGCTGCCCCACCACCCCAGAAAGCCCTGAGCTAGGCTGAAACACCTGCATTTTGGAGCTGCCTTACTCAAGAAAGCAAAAAAGAGACCATGTTTGTGTGCGGCTTTATTAACTCAATTATAATATTGGTTTTAACATGGTTTGCAAACTGATATGTGACACATATTAATGCCAAAATAACATGCAAAACAAACAACAACAACAAAAAATATATATTATCTTTTTGGCTAAACAGGTGGGGCTCAAAACATGTTTGGCTGTGCCCCACCTGCCCTGAATGACGGGTTGTCACTGTTCCTAACACACAAGCTATCAAATACCTTCAATCTTAAGTACAGGGCAGACCTACCTAGCCCAGCTGATTTTAATGCAGCTGGACACATGCTGTCCAGCTGCAGGGGAACAAGCCTCCTCCTCCTGTCTGTCTTAAAGGCCTCTACATTTGGATTCATCTGGGGGAACGTTTCCCCCAACACCTTCAAGAAGCCGCTCTCTTCCTGACCATAGGGCACTTTGATCTGCCTCACAGGATACTCTAAAAATACTGAGATATATATATATATAATATACACAGGAAAACAGTCCATGATTTTCATCAGTAAAATAACCTTCAATATGTTTAATCACAAGATAGATTCACACCTAGCGTACTTATTACAAAGCAAGCACTGTGCACTGCACTCACTGTGTGTGCATACTCATGCACTGTCACACCCTGGCTCTGGGGACTCTATATGTTGAGCCAGGGTGTG